CTCTCAAATCGCCCTCCCCGCAACTGTCTTCTAAGTCGCCCCCCCCCTTATCTCCTACTCCCCTCACGCGCGGCACTGCGCGGGTACAAGGCGGGGCGCAGCATGACAGCGGGCCGACACGCGGGAGCGGGGTGCAACTCGGGAGCGTGGCGGAGCGCAGGAGCGGGCCGCAACGCGGGAGTGGGGCGAAGCGCGGGAGCGGGGCACGACGCGGGAGCGGGGCGAAGCGCGGGAGTGGGGTGCAATGCGGGAGCGGGGCGAAGCGCGCTATGGCAGCACGCACGCTGCTCAAGCACGGGCGCACGCGGCGATAGCGATCGCGCGCGATGAACCAGCTCTCTCTCTCTCTCTCTCTCTCTTCTTGGTGACGACGACGACGGCGACGATGACGTGGCAGCGGGAACCAGCTCTCTCTCTCTCTCTCTCTCTCTCTCTCTCTCTCTCTCTCTCTCTCTTCGGGCGTCGGAAACTTCGGCTATGCCAAAAGAAGAAGAAGAATTGAATTGAAACAGCGAGGCCAATTGCTATGTGTCCATGTCTCAACAATGAGCAATAAAGCACCTGCACGGACAATCAGCTCAACGCGCACATTCCCCGACGCGTTTCGCCTGGCTGGGCACCAGGACTTATCAAGGGGCCACCACACTCCCGCATCCACCGTAGCAGAAGGAGAAGAAGAAGAAGAAGAAGTAGAAAGGGAAGAAGAAGGAGGAGGGTTTTCCCTCACTCGTCACTGCAACGAAGTGTCGAAGTGACCAGTGTGGTTGGCTTCACACTGGGTTGCGGGGGCCGACGCTGGCCAGTTCGACTTCGGATGTTTTCCCGCCAGAATCTTGGAAAACTGGCGGCCTATCTGGGCGGCCGATCTCATCAGATCGAATCGACGGCCCAGATAGGCCGCCAGTTTTTCAAGATTCTGGTGGGCCTACTGGACCCGGTTCAATTTTTTTGGGGGCCGGGAGGCCTCCACGACCCGCATGGAGGCCTCCCGGCCCCCAAAAAAATTCAAAATTTGCCGCGACAAGTCGGCGCAAATTCCAACCGGTGGGGAACCGGCGTTGGTTCACTGACCGGTGCCACCGGCCCGGTTCCGGTGGGGGAAGGGCCCCCCGGTAGGACCGGATATTTAGCCCTGGGTCCAACAGAGTTTTGTGAAGTTTCTTTATTCCTGCCTAAAGGACCACAAACTCCAGATAGCGTTTTTTTTGGTTTCTTTTTTAGTATTTTTAGTAATTTTTTACCACTTAAAGAACCAGGGGCTGCAAGTGTCTGATGGGGTCCCATGATATTGTCTGATAATTGTCAGGGATTTTGGAAAGGTGAAAAAGAGTGGAAAGAACTGCTGTACAAAACATTCTTCGCAAGCCACTTTTGACTGAGGGCTCACTCCTGAATCCCTGACCAAGTTTCAGAAATGTATATGGACGTATGTACTTTCTGACAAAATCACGTCTTTCCCCATGTTGTTGTGTTCTTTTTTCTTCCCTCTTGGTGCCATGATTGTGGGGCAATTGTGTTCGAGGGTGGCGGTTTTGTATCTCTTGTGATCCCTGTTGGGATTCTGTGTATCAGGTTCAAACAGCTGGTGCGGTTGGGGCTCTCCTGATGATAATCGGAAGCGTGGGAATCATCCCTATCAACATATTTAATTTAGGGACGATCGCGTGTGCTTTTTTGGCGTTGTTTTCGCCGATTGGTTTGGCAATGGCTGTCGATGTCATAATAAGGGCAGAGGGAAGTGGTGAAGGAATCTCAATGGCAACATTCTACTCCAGGGTGAGCTTGATTAATTGCAATTTTTTTTTTTTCTGCACAACACAAAGTCCCTTCTATTCTGGGGGGCATCAGTCCGGTTCTTATTACCGGCAAGCAAGGGGGCACAAGTGGAAAAGAGAAAGCAAGGAACAGCCTCTCCCTTGTGGCACTAAACGCCTAACAAGGGGGGGACTGCTATGAGTTGACTCAACCTCCTGGCCCTATCCTACCCTCAAGGGGTGCTTCTGCTGGCCGGAAAGCCTACTGGCAGCACCCAGTCACGCAGCAGACAGATCCCAAGGGAGGGAGGGTACGGGGGGACACTCATAGCAGTCTCTCAGGCCCTATTTGTCATCCCCTCCCACAAACTGCCAAAAGCCTTGTTGCTCAAACCATCCTTCTACATTATCTATGCCTAAAATACATCCCTTACCTGTCCACCTCCTTTATTCCTCTCACCTTGTCTTCCCACACTTTGTACCTCTCCTCACCTTTACTTGATTAATTGCATTCATACGAGCTTGTTTTGAAATTATGAAGCTCCCAAAAAAACAAAAATAAGAAAAAAAGATGTTAAAAAACCTTTTAAAAAGACAGCTATTATGGGCTATATTTTTTATGTCGTCCTTTTTTCTTTTATCAGAGGGCAGTGTTGCAGACCCTGATGGTCGCTGGCCGACCAGCAGACCAGTTAGCTGGTTGGCACCTGATGGTCGGTGGCCGACCAGCAGACCAGTTTTTTGGGGGGGTCCAGAACCCCTAATAACCCCACGAACGCCGCTGTGATGTGTGAAAAGTCGCGCGCGTGCGTGCGAGAGAGAGAGAGAGAGAGCCCTTTAACATTAATCAGAAAAACCCTGTGGGTAATCGTAGAGGCCCCTGCAAATAATTAGTAAGGGCCTCCTCTCCACGAAAGTGGCACTTCTCGAACACATTTTTGGGCAGCAGGACGCCAGCTATATATGGTGTAAATCCGAATTAAGGTCTGTGTTTCAGCAGTTATGGGAGCACGGAGCATGTGATTATCTGGGCAGTAGCAGGGCAACTCACAACGTGATTTTCAGGGCTTCCCTGCACTACTCACTTAATGTGCAAAACTAGAATGATTTTCAGGGCTTCCCTCCACTACTCACGAAACGGAGGTAAGTAGTTGTAGCCCATAAGTGGTGGAACACAGACCTGAATTCGGATCCAGAAGATATATTGCTGGCCTGCTCCTCACTCGTCCAAAATTCGTCGAGTGTCTCCACTGAGATAAAAGAGCCGTGCAGATTCTCTGCTGGGGGCCCTTGAGAAAAAAACCTATATGCAATGAGGAATACGAGGCCCTATTTTTTTCTTTCTCTGTGCCCTTAAAATCTGTAGAAGGGAGGGGCACGTCTGGCTACCCCAGCCACCTCTAATACCCCTTCATATCTTAACACCTCCAAATCGCCCCCAACACCCTCATTATCCCCCCCC